TATAATATGACGAAATTTTCATTTTTTTTCGTTTTTTTAGTCATATTCCGGGAAAAAAACATAGCTACTCATATTTTGAGAAACTCAATACGTTTTAGTCATATCTTGGGAATTTTTCCAACATTATATTGCTATAATTAACTACACATAGTTTCCCTTAAACTACACACAATTTTTCTCTCAAATTAAGTGAATTTGACCGAAATTTCAAGGTGATATCACTATGAACCAACTAAATGTATATACAGTACCAATTTAGTTCATCAATAGTTCAAATTGCATATTTGCATCAATATCAATCTGTTATGGTATCATTTATATGTTTAGCCCATTCTCCCTATAATGGATCTATTGGCCAGGTTTGGTTCTAGCTAGAGGTGAAAATCATGAAACCATTAGAGTTTGATCTTACAGCTCTTGATGAGGAGCCATCTTAAATGAGCAATTCTGCCATAAACACATCTAACAAATCCATCCATGGCCTATTCTCTCAACTCTTGCCAAACCCCACAACAACATCTCATCATGATCAGCCAAGTTCAGACCCAGTTTCACTTGATCTATCTCTCAGCTTCAACTCTACAGCCAGCTTATATGAAGGAAAAGGTGCAGACACCCGAAGAGAAGGGTCAGCCTCTTCAAGACCTTATAGGTGCAATTTCTGCCACCGCAAATTCTGTAGCTCACAGGCTCTTGGGGGTCACCAGAATGCCCATAAGAGGGAACGGTTTATAGCAAAACGAGCAACCCGAAGGGTTCTGTTCTCCGCCGCTCCTCTGCCTAGACGGTCGAATAATAATAGCTGCAGTCGTTTTGTTTTTGCTGGATTTGCAGAGAACAATGAAGATATAAGGACTGCATTTCTGAAGAAGGTTGATCAGTCTCCAATTGATCTTACATTGAGGCTTTGATCGATATAAGAAGACCTTTGTTACCTGGTTTATGAGTTTAGTAGTTGGTTAGTCATCTGCAGCTTATTAATTAGTACATTCTTGCAATTGGAATGTGAGCTTGCCTTGTTTCTAAATTCAAAAGATATATGGTTAGCATTACCAAGTCAAATATAGACAACAAGTCAAGTTATTTTGTATTTCATATAGGCAAATTCTACTCAATATTGCAATTGGAGAATTTAAAATTAATAAATGATGATAAGATAATGAGTTAGACCAATCAAATGTATTCCAAGTACATACAGCTCATTTTTTTGTGAGTAGCAATCACCTTTCAGATATTGGGGCTAAAAAAATATGAGAGTAAGAGAATAAACTAAACAAATTAAATTGACTCCTTGCTTCCAAAAAATGACTCCCTCCAATGGGGAGTACTAGCTATAACGACAACATTTATGCCAAATATAATATTCCCTTGGTCTCTTATAATTTTATCAACTTTCCTTATTGTTATCCCAAACAAAAATTCAATACTTTTTCTTTAAATCAATCAATCTGTAGATCATGTTATTTTGTTGTCTTCTGCACAATTTTCTATCACACAATTTTTATTTTATTATTTACGTGTCAGTCAAACTTCACAAACTCTTGAGCGAGAGAGGGAGGGGTGTGGTACTGTGTATTAAATATAATTCATATCGCGTAAAAGATTAGTGTTGATATCCATATTGACATAAAAGATGTACGTACTAATGCAAACTAATGAAATATTGACGTACTTTCCACTCATTCACCCAATTCCAGTTTCACCAAACGATCTTACTTGAATATTAAAACAACTAAACCCCAAAAATAAAAGAAATAATGTAAAACATTATATGTGTTTGAGATTTGTGCAGAAGAGAAATATAATAAAAACCAATAAAAAGAAAGTGTCAAATTTTTTGTGACAATTAAAAAAAGATATATGACAAAACTATGGACATAAATACGAAGAATTTTGGAGGCCTTCTATTTTAACTGGCCCTATAAAACATGGGCAGGCACATGTTGGGCCGGTCCCGCTTACTTACTACTTGTATTTTTGTTAAGGGGAATTCTATTCACGATCCTCAAATTAATATATTACTATTCACACTCATTAAATTAATTATTAATAGATAAAAGTAATTTAAAAATCTAAATTACTCTTGCAATTGTATTAAGGGAAAATGGAAACTAATAATTCAACCTTTTAGCGGTTTTCTTATAATAGTCTCATCTTTTCGTTATTCATGAATAATTCAACCTTTGCACCTCATCTTCATTCACTGGTCCATGACCGGTTTATGACCTGCTATTCCAAGTTATTTTGTTATCTTTGCAAACCATTATACCATAAATCTCACATTTCACAAAGATAATATTTTGTAAAGATAAGAAAATAACTTTGAATAGCAGGTCATTAATCGGCAAGAGACCAACGAATGAAGATGTGGTGCAAAGGTTGGATTATTCTTGAATAACGAAAATGTGAGACGTACTATTGTATCGACCCCTCGAAGGAATGAGATTATGAGAAAAGCAGTCAAAACCGTGAAGTAAATTTTGAGGTTAACGTCTCATTACGCTTCGAGGATTACACCTCATGAGCTAAGCTGTAGCTCACTGCGCCTTGAGGCATGGTGGCCATTTTGGACCAAAACTCCACGAGAACCAAGTAAACTACACCTTATAACTTTTTAAAGAAATTGGGTTTATATAACTGATATTAAATTGATAAAGTATGAATAAAGTAAACTATACAAATTTTACTAAATTTAGTACTTGTATGAGACAATCTTAAAATTTGATGCCAAATACTTCCAGTTCCCATAAAACATAGTCATCTTATATTTTTGGATCAATCAAATTAAACTTTGATCAATAATATATTTTTTATAGGAAATGATTTGTTTTATACAATGGTATGAATGTATTCTTTGTTAAAAATATTTTCATATTAGTATAATATTAAAACATTCATAATATTACATTAGTCATAATTATTATATTCTCTAAGGATTAGGACAGTCTTTTAACATGTTAATTAGGTTAAACAAAACAGGTCCCCGCTTACCACGTGCCTCCATATTTATAAGGCACTATTAGTATTATTTTTAGGCCACTAATATTAATTAATTAATTAATATAAAATAATAATATACTATAATAGTGTATGCTATCATACATGAATAGGAGCAGCGGACAAATTCATAGTCCACTACTCCATATAATAATGCCAACATAAATTGAAACACTTTACAAAAAAATTGTAGAGATTAATTATTTGAAAGGGAAAATTTGCTACATGTATTTTTTAATTCTATTATTTAATGAATATTCAATTGATTTTTGTATAAAAATATTTTTTAGTTTTTATATTAAATTAAAGTTGGGTCTCAAATTTGTATTTTGAATTGGGACTTCCAAATTTATTAGACGACGTTGTTAAAGATTATTATTGTTACTTGGAAGTCAAAGATGATAATTAAGAAAAGGAAGCTAACACAAAATGCTTATGGACTACAATTATATGAAAATGAAAATACATATAGAAGACGTATAAATAAAAAGAAAAATGTGTGGTATACTCATCAAATGTGTACACCTTTTGTACATTTTTCTGTCCTTCGCAGACAAGTTTTTTGTCACAGACAACTCATATTAAGTTGTCTGTGACAGATAACTTGTCTGCGAAAGACAGACAAATGCACAAAATAATGTACACATTTTGTGTACATCTAGCAAAACTCAAATAAAAAATCCTTACCAAATTAGGCAAGAGGTACGTGTAAATCTTATATTCCTACCAAATCTGGCAAGTTGACCTCCTGTATTGCCGCCGCCGCGAATTAAATAATGAGTCCAAGCTAAACAATTCCCATGCTTATCTGCAAAACTAGCTTGGAGGCGCCACCATCGACCACACCTGTTTCCGATTATTTATTTTATTTAATAATAATACTTCGTAATATTTTTATCTTAAATTTGGGGTGTTAACAAATTGAAATTTTGAATAAAAAAATGAAAGTTAGATATCTTTTAACATTTCCATAAAGTGAAAATGTTGTTCAATAAATAGGTGTTCGGCCCTATAATTTTTGGACGGAGCCGATGAAATTTTGAATTACCGTTTTGAAATACGACATTTTCTATTAATTACTATGGTTAGGCAGCTAAATTAGTAAACATCTATGTGCAACCCGTTAACTTATTTCGCTAGTCAAACCCGCTGACTAGAGCTTAGCGGTTAGCGCAACCTCTATCGCAACCTCTATCTTTATCTTTTTCGTTCTAAAATAAATGCATTTTTGTTTTATGGTAAAGATTTTGTGACTTGTGAGTCATATAGTTATATAATTAAATACTACCGTAATGAGAAACTGAAAAAAACTACTTCATATGTCCCATATAATTTTGTCAACATTCATATTTTAGACGTTCCAAAATTTTTGTCACTTTTCATTTTAATCAATATAATAGTAGTTCATATCATTTCTCTCTCTTCTGCACAACTCTCGATCATATCATCAATTTTTATTTTATTGTTTCTCACGTCAATCAAACTTGACAAACTTTTGAGGACGGAGGAAGTACATGAATTAGGGCGTGACATCCCTAAGTTTTCTTCCATAATGCAAATGACAAACAAATTAAGATAGTGTAGAAGAAAGAGAAATGTATAAAATATATAATAATTTTTGTGAATTACAAATTATTTATCAAAAAGGAAAATTCAATTTATTTTGGAACGTCCAAATAGAAGTTTTCAGGGTAATATTTTTTATTTTTTCAATTGCAACTTAAGTGAGAGAGTGCTAAAAAGTTTGCCCATGCAAGTCAACTCAAGATGTCTCGAATTGACTGATTTTAAAATACGGTATTCAATCTGCGGGGACGGGTGGCGTAGCAGTGCGTTCTTTAGGCTAAAATGGCAATTTCTGAAATTGGTTAAATTCCTATAGCAAAATGTATGTCTTATTTGACCAGCCATTCTTTTTTAAATTCCTGATATAATATTATATATGGATATGGCTATCTGATTTCCCATATATAAATACTACTAAGGAGTAGTGGCTTTCCTTCATCACAAAAGCATCGGCCATTTTTCTTCCATAATCAGCTAAGTATTCGCAATTCAAAGCCATAAAAAATCATTTGTTCATTATATTCGATCCTTGGGCTCTTGAAATGACAAGTTCGGGTATGAATTGCGAGAAGGATATCGTCCGGCCTGTGGTCAACTTCTCCCCTAGTTTATGGGGTGACTGCTTCTACTCTTACTCCATTGACAATAAGGTAATTAATTCATCTTTTTTTTTTTACATAATGGTTGACTAATTGGATTTTTCTCAACGACTTATTTCTGCGATTGCTTTCATTTTAATTTGCCACATTATTCTTTGTTTCATTCTGATCCCATTAAGGAAATGATTGATTTGAACGATTTTTACAACTAGAGTGGAATGATTTCTACACTAGTTAGGCTGCTTCTATATATTGGTTTCAAATGAAATATATATATATCATGAACTAACGCAAGTAGAGTTTTGTGCTGCTAGGTTGGGGAAGCATATGCAAAAGAGATTGAGAGTTTGAAGAAGCAAACAAGAGAAATGTTGCTTGGTTTAAGAGACGAAAAGGTGATTGAGAAACTAAAACTTATCGACTTACTAGAACGACTTGGTGTAGCATACCATTTTGAGAAAGAGATTGAAGAACAACTCGACCATATTTTCTTATCGTATGATCCCCAACACTCTTACGATGATTTGGAAATGGCTTCTCTTCAATTTCGCTTATTGAGGCAACATGGTTTCAAGATATCTTCAGGTAATCCTAAAAACACAATGTGATATAATACATAAAAACATGCACTTACAATTTTAACATAGTTTCTATAGAAATATCTTACTTAATAGTTGTTTAATTGTAGATATATTCAACAATTTTGTTGATAGCAGCGGAAAATTCAAAGACACCTCTGATGTCAATGGTCTATTGAGTTTATATGAAGCTTCATTTGCAAGCACACATGGTGATGATGTTTGTGATGATGCTCTCGCCTTTGCCACGACTCGTCTTAAATTTGAAGTTCCGCATTTGAAATCCAACACCACTTTGGAGAAGCTTGTGTTACATGCCCTTGAACAACCATTGCACACCGGCATGCCCAGAATTGAAACACGTTTTTTTATTTCAGTATATGCACAAGAAGAGGACCGATTTAGGAATGACGTGCTCCTTCGCTTTGCCAAGTTAGATTTTAATTTGTTGCAGATGTTGCACAAACAAGAACTTAGTGAAGTGTCAAGGTGAGCTACTATGTTTCAAGATCATTTGTTTACTTATATGTATGTATGTAAGTATGTATGTCGAATACTTTTACGAATTAATTTAATTTTTTACTTTCCTTCAAAATGCAGGTGGTGGAAAGAGCTTGACTTTATGACAACGCTTCCTTATGCAAGAGACCGAGCAGTTGAATGTTATTTTTGGGCACTTGGAGTGTACTTTGAGCCTCAATATTCTAAGGCCCGAGTTATGCTTGCTAAGAATATTTTAATTGTTTCAATTCTAGATGATACTTATGATGCTTATGGTACCATAGAAGAACTCGCTGTCTACACAGATGCTATATGCAAGTAAGTACAAATTTTATGTGAAATTCAAGTGCAATAGCGCATATTAGTTTGCAAGATCAAGTAATATCTATATGTTTACTTGGTCTAATGTTTATCCTTATTTTCTTACGACTTTAGGTGGGATAGTAGTGAAATAGACCGACTTCCAAGTTATATGAAGTTAAGTTACAAAGCGTTATTAGACCTTTTTGAAAAGGATGTCATTGAGCTCTCTAAGGATGAAAAAACTTATGCGGTTAATCACGCGATGGAAAGAGTATGTATACCATCATAGTTACTTCATCCATATAGTAATTTGACAAATAAAGCTGATACATCATTTTTATATTATATAGATGAAGGAGCTTGTGAAATGTTACTTTATTGAAGCAAATTGGTTCATTGAAGGACATAAGCCTGCATTTGCCGAATACTTGAGAAATGCGTTCGTTAGTTGCACTTATTATTTGCTTGCCACAATTTCATGCTATGGTGTGAAGTTGGCTGATGAAAAGGTATTTGAATGGCTTAGCAAAAATCCAAAAATTCTTGAGGCAAGCGTAACTTTGTGCAGGATTATCGACGATATAGCTACCTTTGATGTAAGACACTACTCTCGTAGCTAGTATGTAATTCAACGTATACCTTAGTGTCTAATTATATGTACTTTTATTATAAGCAAATCATGTAAATAATTATTGCTTCTCATTTTTTTCTCATAGGTTGAGAAAGAGAGAGGACAAGTTACAACAGGTATCGAATGTTACATGAGTGAATATCATGTATCTCTCGAAGAGGCAAAAGAGACATTCCAAAAGATGGCCAAACTTGCATTGAAAGATTTGAATGAAGGAATTCTTAAGCCAACACCCGTTTCAGGAGATATTCTCTGGCGCATTGTGAACCTTGCTCGAATTGTCTTTGTTACGTACCAGCACAACCAAGACGGATATACGCATCCAGAAAAAGTCTTGAAACCTCATATCACAGCATTGCTCATTGATTCAGTTCCACTCTAATAAATTACGGAGTAATTGTTATATCTATGAGTTCAACTGTAATGTTGGGGTGCCTCCGTGCAGTGCCCGCATTTTACAAATTCGTTTTTTTTTAATTCAGTTATGTGTATGTATGTGGAATCTTGCATTCTACTTTATAAAATGGTAGAACTCGTTCTTCTTGATCCATGTAAGTCTAATAAAATTCAAGTAACATGTGTTTCATATTTAAAATAGCCTATATGAGCATTTGACAAATCAATACGATAGTACTTCTTAATACATACGGAGTATATAAAATCTAAAATTCAAAGTTTTTGTAGAATACTAGCTTAAAGCTATTATTACACTTTTAGTTGGTCAACCATTCTTGGTGTACACGTTTTTATACCCATCAGTACACGCATGTGTCTGTGAGAGTTTTTTTTTCTGTGAAGCACAGTCCACAGACAAAAGCTGGCTTGTTTTGTCTGTGGAAAATTTCACAGACAAAACAAGCCAACTTATGTCTGTGGACTGCGCTTCACAGACAAAAAAAAACTCTCACAGACACATGCGTGTACTAATGGGTATAAAAACATGTACAAAAGGAATTTTTCTTTAGTTGGTTGTACTTGCCATTAAGATATTATTTTATAATAGTGATTTTTTATTCCGGAAGATAAATCAGTAATCACTAAAATCAATGGACATGTACTGGTGTCACTTAGAATGTTTTTATTTGGACTGTAATTTGTCCTAGACCAGACCAGACTTGGATAGTTATAAAAATACAAAGAAACTACACCAGGTCAGGTCAGGTCAGAAAATTACAGTCTAAATAAAAATATTCTTACGTACAAGTTGAGCGCATAAATAATAATGAAAAAATCTCAGGCATTGAGTGTAAGCTCAAAGAAGCTACTCAAACACTGTGAAGAAGTAGTTTGAAAAGTGATATCATACTTCGGATGTTTTCTTTTGGACTGTTTTCAGTCCCAAACCAGACCAGAAAAGACTTCTGTAGTTATAAAATATATAGATGCCAGACGTTTACCATACCAGACCAGACTAGTTCAGACCAGACCAGACCAGCAAATTTCAGTCCAAAAGAAAACATCCTCATTGGGTGATATTTGAGACCATACCAACGCAGTGTAAATTGTGTTTCCAAAATATCTGCCTGTAGCAGAATTCTCCTCATACTATGGTATATATACTTGAATAATTTAAACATGTGTTGATTTAAGATTTTGAATAAATGACCGATTTAAGTTCAATGTAATGAAAGTGTATAGGATATTTTCATATCTGATCTATATTATTCTTCTTTTTCTGATTTAAAGTGTTGAACATAAATGGATGCTGAAGACATATATGGAATAAAATTAAGTTTAATTATGTGAATATTCATTTCAAAAATCACACGGAGTATGGATATATATGGCAAAGGAACATCATTGGAAGTAAACAAAATAACTGGGAAGAGAAAAAGAGAATGTATAAGCAGACGATTAAAAGGAGAAAAAAGATATCACTGATATTTTTATATATTTTGGGGGCCGGCCGGCGGGGCTAATTAGCTTATATGCTAATGGGCTTGTTTGGCAATCAGCGGTTGGCTGTTAGGGGTTAGCGGATTAGATTAGCGGCTTGTAAATAGCGGATTGAGTCATCGGATTTGACCAGCGAATTTGTTTGACGGATTGCAAAAGTGTATTTGGTAATTTAGTTGTTCTCTTTAGCGGTTATTAGATAAAAAGACAAAAAAAAAGATATAAGTAATTTTTGTATATATGGATAGCCATGTGCTTCTAAAAAATTATGTCTCGTCCAAACATAGCCAGCAACACTAGCTAGGGATTTAAACAGGGTGCTCAAAGAAGCATTACACCAAACAGGCAATAAACAAAAAAAATCAACTGAAGACACAAAATTCTAGCAAAAATAATGGGTAGAAATATTACCCAAAATAGGACTAAAAAAGTTTGAAAATTCCAAAATAGGACTTTCATATTTTTATTCCCAAAATACGACTAATTACTGTCATCTTTTGACAATACCAGACTTCAAACATGTAAGTATTTTCCAAATTTGGCAATAATTAGTCTATGTTGTAAAAACCAGACCGGAGAGCGACCCAGAGCAATGACCGGGTCAAGGGTCAACCCGGACCCGGCGGGTCAGCCCGGTCAACGACCGGAAAACCCGGTCAATACATATATATAATATATACTCCGTAATATTTATACATAATACACACACACATATATAATATTAAATTCATAGGTAGAATATGTTATTCTTTCATACATTAATATGGATGATACAATATTATCCAATTAAGAAATCATTACTTTAGAGTTAATTTTAACAAAATTTAAAATAGATTAAGATGTACGTGGATAAAATATATTGATATGACATGAATTACAAAATCTTAAAAATATAATAGAAATGTATTTTCACATAATATGTGCATGAGTAAATGCATTACTGTTATTATTATTATTATTAATTGTTAAATATGCTTATTACGTATGTAATATTAAACCAAAAGCTACAATTTATACCAACTTATGACGTTGGTTGAGTGGAATGGAAGCCCAAAGTCTTCCTTAGCAACGCAGGTTCGAATCCCGGATGTGCAGTTTCACCTATTATCCCGTGTTTTGAAAAATACCGGGTTTGCAGTTGAGTTTGGGTCAACTGGGTTTTCCCGGTTTTCATCAACTTAGCGGGCTGAAGGCTAACCTGACTGGGTTCCTGGTCGACCGGTCCGGTTCGGTTCTTTAAAGGATATAAATAAAAACATGACAGTCTTATTTTGGAGTTTTCAAACTTTTTTAGTCTTATTTCGGGAACTTTCCCTAGGTACTAGCGAAGGTCTGCTCTGTCAAAAAAAAAAACTAGCGAAGGTCTGCAAATAAGTTTTGGCAATAATTTTCTATAGAGAAGTAAAAGTCTACGGAAGAAGAAAAACAGGGAGGGTCTATGAAAGCTTGCGATTGCTTTTTGTGCTGAATAAGAACAGGGATGGTCTACGAGACTGGTTAATAGGGAAAGGCTAAGATTGAGAATTAATCGTGTATGTAGAACACGCTAATGTCAAATGCTCCCCTTTGTCGCAAATTAGACTGTACAGTCGGCTGTACCTAGGGCATGGTACAGCCGGTTTTTTTTGTAAATTATTTCAAGTTTGAGTCTAATCTTCGTCCTTCCCTTCTGTTTCGTCCTCTTCTCCCAACTTTCTTTCCTTCACCTGTTTCGTCTCTACCGCGACTCTCCCAGATGGTTTCTGTCTGGTCATCGATCGATTGGAGTAGGATTTCCGTTCGCTTTTCTTTGCTTTTTATTATTTTATTCATTTATCTTTTCTTCCAATTTTGTATTGCAATGATAAATTTTTGTTTTTGCTTGTTTCCATCTTCTATCTTACTTTCGTTCTTCTTTTACAGTTTCTTCTCTTCGATGTGCTCCTCTTTATTATTTACTTCTATTGATTCTTGTGCAGGTTTAGTTTTTTGAAGTTGTTCATTCAGTTCAGGTTATTGTCTTCTGAATTGCAGGTTTAGGTTTAGGTTATTTTCTTCTATCATAGGAACAAAATAATATTTTGTTCATTCAGTTCATATTTTTTTGTTTTAGCATTTAGTTTCATCCAAGATTTGATGCTATGTCTTGTTTTGGATGTAATTTTTTAAGAAACACCTTCAATATATTTGATTTGTTTTGTTGAGTATTGCTTTATTGAGTATTGATCATCTGTACTTTGCTTTTGATTTGTCATCCCCTGTCAGATGGTATTTCTTTTAGTGGCAAATTAATAGAAGATATTGAGGCGAGAGGCGAACTTTTTGAAGTTGATTGCAGTAATGTTTTCTATCTTTTTAATTTACATAGTGTTGTTGTTTGGTCTGTGTTGTTTACTTTGAGATTTTGTTAGTTATTTGTGCATTTTTTATGTCTTCAGATTACTTGCATTCTGCTGATACCTTCAGTGAAGAAATTTTGTCAAGAACTGAATCTGTTCCTGTCCTACCAAGTATTGTGTTTTCTTACATTTTATTACTTTGTTAGGTTTTTCCCTATTCAAATTTTAAATTCTTTTTTTTTTTGCAGTTCAAAATTCTTCTACTTTTGTTCATGTAGATCAAATTGATGAGGTTGTGTGTTCTGAAAATATATGTGTTAAGGAAGCAGACATTTTTGATTTATTGGGTAAAACAGTTTTTTCGGAAGAAGAGACATTTGATCTATATAATGACTACTTTGAGAAAGAGGGGTAATGGTGTTGGTTTTAGAGGAAGGGAATTTTGTTGTACGAAACAAGGTATGAAAAGAAACAAAGGTGTTGTAGGTAAACAATATACAAAAGTTGATAGACGAACTGGTTGCAAGGCAAAAGTTTATTTTGAGTTCAAATCTACAGGTGAGTTGGTTGTTGTTAGGCATGATATGGTTCATAATCACCAGTTTTGCCCGGAAATCATTAGTTCATCATGTTAGATCTCATCGTGCTGTTTCTTCAAGCGAGTTAGAGTATTTGCAACATTTAAAAATTAAAGGAGTTAAGATTAGAGATGGTTTTCGTTGCTTGCAAGCTGAAGCGGGTGGATCTCCTTCTGTTGGTTTTCTTTTGCGCGATGCTTATAATGAACTGACGAAAAAGTCTAAGAAATCTTTTGACGGTTGTGATGCAAATACATTGATTAATATTTTTAAGAACAGACATGCAAATGAAGAAGACTTTTTCTATTCTTTTGAGGTTGATTTGGATGGTTCTCTTTGTAGCTTTTTATGGAGAGATAAGAAAATGAGAGAAGATTATACTGCATTTGGTGATTTAGTTATTCATGATACGACTTATCGGACCAACAAATATGATATGATTTGTGGTCCATTCGTTGGCATTAACTCTCATACTCATAATTGCATGTTTGGTTGTGGTTTTTTATTGAATGAAAGAATTGAGTCGTTTGAATGGCTTTTCACTACATTTTTGCAATCTATGGGTTCTGTCCATCCAAGAACTATTATGACAGATCAATCGGCCGCTATGTCTGCTGCAATTTGTAAAGTATTTCCTCTCTCGAAACATCGTCTGTGTGTTTGGCATATCATTGAAAATTCAAAGAAACATATACGTGACTTGAGGAATCAAGGGGGCTTCTTAGATTTGTTTGATCATGTTCTGAAATTGTGTCACACCGTTGCAGAATTTGATCATTACTGGAATATGTATCTTTTATT